CCGTGTGGAGGAAAGGCAGGGCATGCAATCCTGAGACCCCTTCTACTACTGCAGGACCAGCCGGGTATCTGCGTCGTGCTAGCATAGCCCAGCTAACTCAGGAGATGGGGACTGCCTTCTTCCAGAAGCAGCAGCTATCAGCCGCTATGGCAGACACCTTTCTCGAACACCTCTGCCTGCTGGACATCGACTCTGAGCCAGTAGCTGCTCGAAGTACCAGCATCATTGCCACCATTGGTAAGTCCACACGTCCCCTAGCAACTTCAAACACCATCTCTGGTGTGGCAAAAGAGATTTCCTGTGTCTTGTGTGTGTGTGTGTATGTGTGTGTGTGTATATGTGTGTGTGTGTGTGTGTGTTAGTGGGGTTTGAACTCAGGGCCTTGCACTTTGTAAAAACAAGGCTAGTGCTGCTGCTCAAGGCTAGTGCTCTACCACTTGAACCACACTCCACTTGTTTTTTTGATGGTTAATTAGAGATTAAATTCTCTGCCAGGACTGGTTTTGAACCATGATCCTTAGATCTCAGCCTCCTGAGTAACTAGGATTACAGGAGTGCGCCACCACCATTGGGCTTATTTCCTCAGTCACTAGGATTATAGGTATGAGCCACCGGCACCCGGCTGACATACTCTTACATTTTAACCAAATCATCCTGGTTCATGGATTGAAAATAGATTCGGGGGGCATTGAGTGAAGACAGAAACTGCTCCTGTAGTATTTCTCACTGAGTCCAGGTGATAGCAGGGATGGGGGGGGGGCTGGAAAGTTGGCTTAGTGGTAGAGCGCTTGCCTTGCATGCATGAGGCCCTGGGTTCGATTCCTCAGCACCACATAAGCAAAAAGAAAAAAGCTGGAAGTGGTGCTGTGCTTCAACTGTTAGAGCGCAAGCCTTGAGCTGAAGAGCTGAGGGACAGTGCCCAGGCCCAGAGTTCAGGCCCACCACCGGACCCCCAAAAAAAGAAGATAGCAGGGGTGGAGGCCAGAAATGATCTGATGATTCTGGATTCATTATGAAGGCAAATCTAAAAGGTTTTCCTATTGAACTAGACAAATATGGGGTGAAGCTGACACACAAAAGAAAGGAGTCAAGACCAATTGCAGACTTTGGAAGGAGGAACTGAAAGCTATCATTATCACCTGGAAAGGAAAAAACCTAGTGGGAAAATTATGGGAGATCAGGATTTCAGTTTGGATGATTGAATTTGAGGTGCATTATTATTATTATTTTTTGGTCCTTCATGGGGCTTGAACTCTGAGCTTGGGCGCGGTCCCTGGGCTCTTCAGCTCAAGGTGAGCGCTCTACCACTTGAGTCACAAGTTTTCCAGTGGTTTATTGAGATAAGAGTCTCACGGACTTTCCTGCCTGGGCTGGTATTGAACTGTGATCCTCAGATCTCAGCCTCCTGAGTAGCTAGGATTACAGGCGTGAGCCACCGGCACCCAGCTGAGATGCATATTAAACATCCAAGGTTGGTACAGAGTTGGCAGTGTGATGCACAGTTTAGGGACTGGAGAAAGGACTGGATCAGAAATATAAAATATGAGTCATCTGTAGATAGATAGTATTTCAAGTCATGATAATAGTTGAGATAACCGAAGGGGTACAGTTAAAATGACAGATGGGGATGTAACTCAGTGGTAAAGCATAGGCTTTGCATTAGCAAGTCCCTGGGTGTGATCCCTAGGATCAACAACAACAGAGATCTGCCAGGCACCATTGGCTCATGCCTGTAATCCTAGTCACTCAGGAAGCTGAGATCTGAGGATGGAGGTGGTTCAAAGCCAGCCCCGGAAGAAATATCCCTGGGAGACTCTCATCTCCAATTAACCACTCAAAAACTGGAAGTGGAGCTGTGGCTCAAAGTGGTAGAGCTCTAGCCTTGAGCAAAAAAGCTCAGGGACAGCATTCATGCCCTGAGTTAAAGCCCTATGACAGATTTAAAAAAAAAAAAAGACATAAGCACTGGACATTGGCCTGGAAATGTGGCTTAGTAAGAGCGTGCTTGCCTAGCATGCATGAAGTCCTGGGTTCCATTCCTCAGTACCACATAAATAGAAAATGCTGGAAGTGGCACTTTGGCTCAAGTGGCAGAATGCTAACCTTGAGCAAAAGTAGATCAGGGGCCAGGCGCTGGTGGCTCATGCCCTTAATCCTATCTATTCAGGAGGCTGAGATCTGAGGATGGCAGTTCAAAGCCAGCCAGGGCAAGAAAGTCCATGAGACTCTTATCTCCAATAAACCACTCAGCAAACAGGAAGTAGTGCTGTGGCTCAGTGGTACTGTGCTAGCCATGAGCTGAAGAGCTGAGGGACAGGACCAAGGCCCAGAGTTCAAGCTTCATGACTGACAAAAAAAGTATCTCAAGGACAGTGCCCAGGCCCTGAGTTCAAGCCCCAGGACTGGTAGCAAAAAATAAAAAATAAAACAACTGGACATCTACTGAAGAAGGGAGACTAAGAAGGGAAGAATAGGGAAGTCAAGAGAGCAGGTGTCTTGGAGGTCAAGGGAAAGAGCTGGGTGCAGCTAAGTGGTGGAACACCTGCCTATAGTATACAGAAGGCCCTGGCTTCAATCTCGTGAACAACAACAACAACAGAAAAGCAGGTTCAGATGGCACATACCTTTAATCCTAGTGACTCAGGACAGGCTGAGATCTCAGAATTATGGTTTAAAACTAATATCACAGAAAACTCCATGAGACTCTTATCTCCAACTTACCAGTAAAAAAAAAAAAAAGCTGGAAGTAGAGGTGTGATTTAAGTGCTCCAATGTGAGCCTCAAGCAAAAAAGGGGGGGGGGGGGGGGAGAAAGGGAGGGAGGGAGAGAGAGAAAGAGAAAGAATATATCAAAAGCTGTTGATGTGGGGGGGAGGGCTTGGAAGGTGGCTCAGTGGTAGAGCGCTTGCCTTGCATGCCTGAGGCCCTGGGTTCGATTACTCAGCACCACATAAGCAAAAAGAAAAAAGCTGCAAGTGGTGCTGTGGCTCAAGTGGTAGGGCGCTAGCCTTGAGCTGAAGAGCTGAGAGAAAGCGCCCAGGCCCAGAGTTCAAGGCCCCATGACTGGCCTTCCGCCCCCCCCCAAAAAAAGCTGTTGATAGCCCATGGAGAAGACCGAATATTCTCAGTTGACAGAACTCAACTCTCAGTCAATGAGGCTTCTCAGCCTTAAAGCTTCAGACCTGTCCCCCAAAACCTTCATCTGATTTTTACCTCTACCCATGCTGCCTCCCTAAGTGTGTAAATATTGGTTAGATCCGGGAATAATGGTCAGGTATCTGGACTCCTATGCTGTGCGGCTGGAAGCTTTGGGTTTGGTTGTCTCTTGAGTTTGAGGGGAATCTCTGGTTCCAGGTCCAGCATCTCGCTCCGTGGAGCGCCTCAAGGAGATGATCAAGGCCGGGATGAACATTGCAAGACTCAACTTTTCCCACGGTTCCCACGAGGTGCAGGGAGGTTGGGTGAAGGGTGGAGCTGGAGGAGGCTTCTGGAAATGAATACCTCCTGAAATCTCGGTTCCGGGCCCACCCCTCAGTACCATGCTGAGTCCATCGCCAACATCCGGGAGGCAGCGGAGAGCTTTGCAACTTCCCCGCTCAGTTACCGGCCTGTGGCCATCGCTCTGGACACCAAGGGGCCGGAGATTCGAACTGGGATCCTGCAGGGGGTGAGAGAAGAGGCCTCACCCAGCCAGGGAAGGGAAACACGCAGTCATTTGTGGGCGTGGCTAGGGAAACAGGCGGGGCGTGGGGGCGGTCCAGTGGGCGGGGCATCATGCAATGCGTGGAGCTAGCCAGTGGGCGGGGCTAGGGGCGGGCCTTGGAGGGTAGAGGCTCACGTCAGCTCTGGCCCCACCCCCAGGGCCCGGAGTCGGAAGTGGAGATTGTGAAGGGCTCCCGGGTGCTGGTGACTGTGGACTCAGCCTTCCGCACGCAGGGGAACGCGAGCACGGTGTGGGTGGACTACCCCAATATCATCCGGGTCGTTGCAGTGGGGGGCCGCATCTACATTGACGACGGGCTCATCTCCCTCGTGGTCCAGAAAATCGGTGGGGATGCTCCTCCCGCGCCGACTAATCGCTGAGCACATTCCTTCCCTTTGGCGCCCCCATTCGCTCTTACTCCACCACACCTTCCCCTGGCCATTCGTGCTTCCCCGCCTGACTTGGAGTCACCAGCACCCTACTCGGGCCCTCTCCAGGGGTGGGGGGGGCTGGATTTGCGGGTTATTCATTTGTTTTTGCACAGACATCTGTCTGTGGGCTCAGAACAAGTGGAAGAGACAAGCACATGACTTTCTTTCTCTTTCTGTCTGTCTCTGTCTCTCTCTGTCTCTCTGTCTCTGTCTGTCTGTCTCTCTCTCTCTGTCTCTGTCTCTCTCGTCAGTCGTGGGGCTTGAACTCTGGGCCTGGGTGCTGCCCCTGAGCTCTTCAGATCAAGGCTATTGCTCTACCCCTTGAGCCACAGCGCCAGACTCTTAAATCTCTTGAAGGTTCAAGCCCGGAATTTGCTCTATTTTGACTCTGCCTTAACCTCCCTCACCCTTGACAAAAGCTGTCTTTCTCCATGCCCATAGGCCCAGAGGGGCTGGTGACTGAAGTGGAAAATGGCGGTATGCTGGGCAGCAGGAAGGGAGTGAACTTGCCAGGCACAGAGGTGGACCTGCCTAGTCTATCTGAGCAAGATGTCAAGGACCTGTGCTTCGGGGTGAAGCATGGTGTGGACATCATCTTTGCCTCCTTTGTGCGCAAAGCCAGTGATGTGGCTGCCGTCCGGGCTGCCCTGGGGCCAGAAGGAGAGAACATTAAAATTATCAGCAAAATTGAGAACCATGAAGGCGTGAAGAAGTGAGGCTTAGTCTTTGTTATTGTCAGGCCTATAACTATTGTCCCTCTTCTGCCTGCTGCCCTCTGCCATTTCTTGGCTCTGCCCCAGCCCTGATTCCTCCAACTGCCCAGGTTTGATGAAATCTTGGAGGTGAGCGATGGCATCATGGTGGCACGGGGAGACCTGGGTATCGAGATCCCAGCTGAAAAGGTTTTTCTGGCTCAGAAGATGATGATTGGGCGCTGCAACTTGGCAGGCAAGCCCGTGGTCTGCGCCACACAGGTCTGGAGTGAACCCTTGGCACTGGGATACTCTGTGGGTTATACAGACACTGAAGGTGGACATCCACACATTAAATCTACACCACACTGGCTGCTCAGTGTTTGATCCTGAAACAATGTAGTTAAGTACAAATACTGTGATGTGACCCCTATTTTTAGATAAGAAAACTCAACTGTCAGGGTCCAGGGCTGGACTTGTAAGTTACCCAGAGCATGACTCCTACATGGTGTTCCCTAGATGCTGGAGAGCATGATCACCAAAGCCCGCCCAACTCGTGCAGAAACAAGTGACGTAGCAAATGCTGTACTGGATGGAGCAGACTGTATCATGTTGTCTGGAGAGACTGCCAAAGGCAACTTTCCTGTAGAAGCTGTGAGGATGCAACATGCGGTAGGAGCTCAAGATGAAAGGCCATGAAACTAAACTTCTTTGAGTCCCTTGTTGCCCCTGCCCAGCCTGACCTCTTGATGCCTTCAGATTGCCAGAGAGGCAGAGGCTGCCGTGTACCACCGGCAGCTGTTTGAGGAGCTACGGCGAGCAGTGCCACTGAGCCGTGATCCCACCGAGGTCATTGCCATTGGTGCTGTGGAGGCTGCCTTTAAGTGCTGTGCTGCTGCCATCATCGTGCTGACCACGACTGGCCGGTGAGGGGCACATCACACCAGATAGGGATTTACTCAGGGGAGGCTGGGGGACCCCCAGGCCTGAATATTGTCTGATGGCCAAGGAAGAGTACTGCTTCAGGGCAAGATCTGCCTCTAGGCAGATCTTGAGGTAGACCAGGACTTGTACAGTGAACTCCAAGGGGACGGGTTGGGGACAGGGGCGGGGGGACTGGGAATGTGACTTAGTGGTAGAGTGCTTGCCTAGCATGCATGAAACTCTAGGTTCAATTCTTCATAATAATAACTCCATGTGAATAGAAAAAGCTGGAAGTGGATCTGTGGCTCAAGTGGTAGATTGCTAGCCTTGAACAACAACAACAAAAAAGCCCTGAGTTTCAAGCCCCAGGACTGGCAAAAAAAAAAAATCTCATGGACTTTTTTTCTTTGGTTGGTCGTGGGGCTTGAACTCTTGGCTTGGGCACTGTCCCTGCTCTCTTCAGCTCGAGGTAAGTGCTCGAGCTTGAGCTACAACGCCACTTCTGGTTTTCTAGTGGTTTATTAGAGATTAAAGTCTCATGGACTTTCCTGCCCGGGCTGGCTTTCAACTGTGATCCTCAGATCTCAGCCTCCTGAATATCTAGAATTACAGGCATGAGCCACTGATGCCCGGCTGACTTTTTTTCTTTTTTTCTTTTTTCTTTTTGTCGATTGTGGGGCCTGAACTCAGCTTAGGCAATGTCCCTCAGCTCTTCAGCTCAAGGCTAACTCTCTACCACTTGAGCCACAGTGCGATTTCCCACTTTTTCTGCTTATGTGGTGCTGAGGAACCGAACCCAGGGCCTCATGCATGCAAGGCAAGCACTCTACCACTGCGCCACCTTCCCAGCCCCCTCTCACGGACTTTTCTGCCTGGGCTGGCTTTGAACCTTGGTCCTCAGATCTCAGCCTTCTGAGTACTAGGATTACATGCATGAGCCCAGCTTGACTTTGTGTTTTGTTTTTTTGTTTGTTTTTTGTTGGTTGTTGGGAGGGAGGTGAACTCTGGGCCTGGGCACTGTCCCTCAAGTCTTCAGCTCAAGGTTGGTGCCCTACTACTTGAGCTACAAAGCCACTTCCCGTTTTTTTCTGCTTATGTGGTACTGAGGAAATCGGATCCAGTACCTCACACATGTGAGGCAAGCACTCTGCCACTGAGCCAACTTCCTAGCCTGACTTTGTGTTCTTAACAAACTTTTTCACTCATATCTGGCACTCAACCACTTGAGCCATACTTCTAGTCCAGCCTTTTGTATTGTGTGTGTCTGTGTGTATTTGTTCTGGTCCTGGAGCTTGAACTTAGGGCCTGGGCACTAACCCTGAACTTTTTTTGCTTAATGCTAGCATGCTACCACTTGATCCACAGCTCCACTTATGTTTTTTGTAGTTTATTGGGATAAGAGTCTCATCGACTTTCTTCCTCAGCCTGGCTTGAACTTGAATCCTCAGATCTCAGTCTCCTGGATAGCTAGAATTACAGATATGAGCTACTGGCACCTGGCAAGTCCAGTTTTTTCACTAGCTAATTGGAGGTGAAGTGTTGAGGACTATTCAACCCTGGCTAGCTTTGAATTGGGAACCTCAGATTTCAGCCTTCTGGTTATCTAGGGTTACAATTATGAGTTATAGCACCTGACTGGCTTTATCTTCCTTCCTTCCTTCCTTCCCTTCTTTTATTTTTATTTATTTTTTGTCTGTCATGGAGCTTGAACTCTGGGTCTCGGTGCTGTCCCTGAGCTCTTCAGCTCAAGGCAAGCGCTCTATCACTTGAACCACAGCGCCCACTTCCGGTTTTTTGAGTATGTGGTGCTAAGGAATGGACCCCAGGGCCTCATGCATGCATGCAAGGCAAGCACTCTACCTTCCCAGCACCCCCTCCTCTTTCTTTTCTTTCCTTTCTTTCTTTCTTTTCTTTCTTTCTTTCTTTCTTTCTTTCTTTCTTTCTTTCTTTCTTTCTTTCTTTCTTTCTTCCCTCCTT